TGACAAGGTCAATGAAATAGATAGTTACATAGATTGATTATCCATATTTTTCAAAATAAACATAAGCGTATGCCTTGAAGTAAAAATGTAAGCAATTATTTTTTTAAATATCTAAAGGCTAAAAATTGGTTTTAAAACACATTTTTGCTAAACCGATTCAAATTAATAAATATTTGCCAGGCAATATGGCCGCTCGTAAACGACCAGCTTTGAGCAATCTATATAACTATATATGTATCATTGACCCTGTTAATGACAACATGACAACAGGGTTGCCATATCTAAACTGTCATTACCCACTGGTAGCCATTTGGACAGGTCGTTGGAATGCCTAATTATTCTTTATACTGGGTCGGGGTGGTCAGATTTTCAATGACAGTTGACGTTTTTGTCGCTTATTTCTACACGGAGAAAAGTAAACTCTAAAATTGCAAATTAACGATGTACACTTAGAAAAAAATTAAAACATGTACATATAACATTTTAATGTATTCTAGGCAAATAAATTAATCAAAATATTGTGTAACTTAAATAAATGAGTTCCGGTGAAAATCTAGATGTGCCAATTTTAAAATTTTATCATTAGATTAAAATAAATTACTTTTGTATGCCATTCATTGTATGAAATGTGTTAAACATTTTTTGGTTTCTTCCTGGAACTAATAAATTAACTCTGCACCTTATTTTTTTATTTAAAATGAGGTTATGTAGGTATCTTTTTAGAAGTGAAACAACATATAACAATAATATTTATTAAAACACACAATTACAAATTAGTAAGTTTTTAATGAATTTACAATACAAGAATTATTTTATTTCAATTTTTGTTCCTACGTACAAATTTTTGACTTCAGATGAGTTTTAGCAAATGCCTGTTGTAAGTCACCCGTTAAGCACAATGCTGCCCAATTGCTTATATTACCTATGTATATAATTAAATACTATTAACGTCACATCATAAAAATTAGATGTTTATATTTAACGATTTTATGGTTTAAAATTTGTATGGGAAAGGTTATCTGCTGCGGGATTTAAATATTTAATGGCTAGAAGAATCAACAGTGACTGTCTAGAAAAATTTGTTGGGTCCATTAGGCAACAGGGTGGGAATTTAATTAATCCAACACCTGTACAATTCGAAAGGGCATTTAAAAAACTTTTTTGTCAAAATTATCTTCATTGCAATTCCATGAATTGTAATGAAGACCTGGACAAACACTTGCTACAATTAGATGTAAAAAATATTGTCTCTCTGTATCCTGCAATAAATAAAAAGACTCGAGAAGCTGTGTTTCTTCCTAATTACAGCTACAGGACAGAAGATATAATAGTTCAAAATCCATTTAAATATGTTTGTGGCTATTTGATCAAAAAAGCTTTAGGCATACATGGATGTAATACATTTATTAAATTTTCAAAAGAATGTGAAGATTTGGATAGTTCACAAATTTTAACATATGATTGCAAATAAAGCACTTATGGAGGCCTAAAAACTCCAAATGAAAAGTTTATTATCTATATATTTAAATTATAAAAAAATGTTATATCTATTTTTAGCAATACCTGTGTAATGTCTGGTATATCGCATAGCTTTTTTTGATATTATGAAAGAAATAGAATTTAATCATCCTTGTCCTAATTTCCCTAACGTATATATATCATACAACTATTTATAAGTTTATATATATTATTGTTTAAGTGCTTAAATATTGTATAAATGAAACAAATCAAAAATTAAAAAACAGTTAAAATAATAACACCACAAAATACATTTTTTTGTTTTCTTTTTGCTACTTTACAAGAAATACATATATATTTTGATTAGATGTAGTCAATCAGAACATTTTTAATCAATGGACATAGTGAATCAAAGAACATCTAATTCATTATAATAATTTGGAGGTAGGATTTTTGATTAAGAATGTCCAAAGGTTGCACATGGTACGCTTTCAAAAATGTCTCGTTCATGTTCAATGATAGTCTCAACAGAGGAAGCACTTGGTCGATGTACTAGGGAGAAGATAGACATTTGGCTGATGACCTAGATGGATAAAAAATGTGGGAACAGCAGTAGGCAATAAACGTTTACGGTTCAACGTTTTAGAAAAACAATTCTTCTCAAAATGTTTCTCACACAACCTGTAATTCCGGTGAAGACTGTTCACATCTATGTTACTCAAATCTTCCCTATTACAAGCTCTTAACCACATGTTGGCCCTAAAATATAAAAAAGTTGATAACAAATGTTTAGATTGACGGTATAGTTCAGAAATTATATATTTTTTACATTATTTTTGTTGAAATTGTAAAAATTGTCCTCCAGACATTTAAATAATAAATATTTGGTTTTCAAATATAAAAATTGAAAGTATTTTCTTAAGACATACCTTTCTGGCTCCATGGGAAATGCAAAATAACTTGTCCCTTTGTCTGTTTACTCTGTTTGAGATGGACAAGGGCGATAGACACATCTCTTTCTTTTCTGATCAGGTGCAGAAGCCATTTCAAAAAATCACACAATAAATGAAAAACTAAAATAATAAAAATGTCTCAAAATATGCACTGCAAACAAACAAAAATAATGACATATTTACATTTGCTGCGTTTGAGAATCCACATCGGATGCATTTTTTACATCTCGAGCGTTTTTTTATCCACATCGGACACATCTGTCCCATTACATTTACGTATACTGAATCACGTGATCAAAGATTTTTTACATCTCAGATGCATCCGATGTGGATTCTCAAACGCGGCATACATTTACATCGCATTGACACTATTGACGTTGACGTTTTTGTCGCTTATTTTCGGACATGCGCAGAAAAATATGGACCCCTCATAAAAAATGATCTGTCGCTACTGTATTGGTATATATACTGGGCTAAAAGGGTCGTTTGGAGTTAAAAGTGTTAAAGGAGTTAAAGGAACTTGGCAGACCGAACGCAATGAATAAGGAGAAAATAGTATTGTTCTTTATACTGGGGTTCCAGTTTATACACTGCGCAACTCGGATAATACAATATACAGGGTGTTAAAAAAAAGTGTCACAAAATGAAATGGTGAATAGTATGACCCAAAATAAGCAGAAAAGTCTTAATAAATATATGACCGCAAATTAACGGTTTCGGAGATACGGACCATTTTGTGTTTATAACAATTTTTTATTATTATAAAAAAACAATGATATTTATAAACAATCAATAAAAACATAGAATTAAATGAGATGTTCAAATACTGACGTAGCGCTTCCCTCGCATTGCCATTTGCACGACCGTACATAAAATGCATGTCAGCTAATTCAATATTAGTGTAAACAGGCATAACGAAAATTTATAAAATTATTCACCCACAACAAAATAATAACTGCAAATAGTATCTATGAAAAAACATCGGTAGACTCCGATAAGAAAAGCAAGTTTTTTAGAATGAAAAAAGATAATCAAAAAATGATACAAAACACAAAACACTCCGTATCTCTGAAACCATTCATTTGCGGACATATGTTTATTAAGACTTTTCTGCATATTTTGGCCCATACCACCCCCCGTTTTATTTTGTGACACTTTTTTTTTAACACCCTGTATAACAACCGCCTATAATAAAACAGCTGTCTTCTGCGTATCCTAAATTTGTATCCCTGGAGTGGATCTTATTTTGAAACTTTCAACTGGTCCGAGTGAGCTAACTGATTCTTTAGCAATAATCTGTGACTCAAAAAATAATATTCACTGACACCACATACTTTGATTTTCTTTTACTATACGGAGAATGGTCGCACTGCGCAGCTTTCTGAGTGCCTTTTAAAATGAGATAGAAAACTCCGCCATTTTGAACCCTTATTACGTGTTGCCTATATCTTGGCTCAATATTTTTAATAGGTGCGTTTTAATTATCCGCTTCTGCTTCGGAATTGTCGGTTTTCTTGTTTTAATCTGACAGGTTAAAACGACTAAACCGACAATTCCGGAAGCAGAAGCGTCTGATTAAAACGCACCTGATATTTTGTTTGCTGCAGGGCTGGTATATCTAAGGGGGTCGCGACATAGGAGTCCATTTTGGACGCCATTTTTTTCGAAATAGTAGTCACATACACACACTTTGATTTTCTTTTACTATACGGAGAATGGTCGCACTGCGCAGCTTTCTGAGTGCCTTTTAAAAGGAGATAGAAAACTCCGGCATTTTGAACCCTTATTACGTGTTGCCTACATCTTGGCGCAATATTTTTAATAGGTGCGTTTTAATCACACGCTTGTGCTTCGGAATTGTCGGTTTTCTTGTTTTAATTTGACAAGTTAAAACGACTAAACCGACAATTCCGGAAGCAGAAGCGGATGATTAAAACGCACCTGATATTTTGCTTGCGGCTGTCAGTGTCAGTGAATATTATTTTTTGAGTCACAGATTATTGCTAAAGAATCAGTTAGCTCACTCGGACCAGTTGAAAGTTTCAAAATAAGATCCACTCCAGGGATACAAATTTAGGATACGCAGAAGACAGCTGTTTTATTATAGGCGGTTGTTATATATTGTATTATCCGAGTTGCGCAGTGTATAAACTGGAACATTGAGATCAAAAGTGCCGACGCAGAGTGAGCGATCTGATTCTTTAGCTATAAACTGTTGCATAGGGTTCAAAATGGCCGGGCCCTATGTTGGGCGTGTCGGACCTCTCTCTTGCGCCGTATAGTAAAGAAAATCAAAGTATGTGACTGACACTGACAGCCGCAAGCAAAATATCAGGTGCGTTTTAATCATCCGCTTCTGCTTCCGGAATTGTCGGTTTAGTCGTTTTAACTTGTCAAATTAAAACAAGAAAACCGACAATTCCGAAGCAGAAGCGGATGATTAAAACGCACCTATTAAAAATATTGCGCCAAGATGTAGGCCACACGTAATAAGGGTTCAAAATGGCGGAGTTTTCTATCTTCTTCTAAAAGGCACTCAGAAAGCTGCGCAGTGCGACCATTCTCCGTATAGTAAAAGAAAATCAAAGTATGTGTTTAAAAGGCACTCAGAAAGCTGCGCAAGAAAATCAAAGTATGTGAGTTGGCATAGAAAAATGTAGTTGGTATCCCTGAAGTGTCACAAAAATAAATGACGTGTGTAAGTGTGTAACCTTTTTATTTGTTTTTAATAAAATAATAATGAATAGTAATTAGTCTCATTTAAAACTAATTAACGCAGAATTTAGCCTCAAAATGGAACCTAGCGAAGATATGTGCAAAAGCCTGGCTAAATGGCTCCAGAAGATAGTTCCCAACAAAACCAGAACAATCCCAGAAATATGTGATGGTGTGGGAATGTTGGATGCTTTGCTCCAAATTTCCCCGGAAAATTTTGGCAAACTTGAATCAAAAATCAAAAGGGACGTTGGGGCTAATAATTGGAGACTACGAATAAGTAATTTAAAAAAAGTTGTCGAAGCTGTGATAGAGTATTACCAAGATGTTCTTACATTACAAGTTCTAGAAACGGGGGTACCAGATGTTGTTAAAATTGGGGAAAGTAACGATCCTGTGCAATTAGCTAAGCTTTTGCGATTAATATTGGGTAAGTTTAATCAAAATGTTCAACAATATTGGTTTTAAGAAAACAATAGCTACATAATATGTTGGTTAGTTTTTTCAATAAGTATCTATTAATTTTTGCCTTTTTTGAAAAAGTACAAGTGTCGATATAAAACTATGTAGTTTTTAATTATATTATAAGTTAACATTTAATTCTTCAGAAGATAGGTAACATAAATTCCTTAAATATACTTAATTGACATAAAAACAATGATAATTCAGGTTACATTAATATTTTCATTTAAATTGATTTATTAATGTCTCATTGAATGATGTGATATTGAAATTTTGCTTTAGGTTGTGCAATAAATTGTGACAAGAAGCAGGAATATATAACTATGATTATGGAGATGGAAGAATCCATTCAACAAAACATAATGCAAGCTATTCAACAACTTGAAGAAGTTACAGGGGGACCAGGTCGTTCTGGTTTAAGTCTTCTAATTTTAGATAGTGATACAAGGGTTATGAAACTAGTTAGTGATCTTGAATCATCCAATAAGTCAAGAGAAGCCTTAACGCAGCAAGTACAAAATCTAGAACAACAATTGCAGTCACTTTTAGATGAAAAGAAAATGTTACAAGACCAGCATCTTGCTATGTTAGAAAGGGAAGCTAAAAATCCTCAAGAAAATATAAGAAAACAACTGGAATCATTGAAAGAAGAACTTTTTAAATCAGAAGTCATTAGAGATGATTTTAAAGCTAAGCTGTTTGAACAAGAGAAACAAATTCTTACTTATCAAGAAAAAATTAGTGAATTACAAATTGCTGCCAATGAATCTGCCAAATTAAAAGATGAAATAGATGCACTTACAGAGTCAGCAGGTAAGGTTGTAGACTTGGAATTAGCTCTCGTGTCTTACAAAAAAAGGTTAGAAAATTACCAGGACATTAAAAGAAATTTACAAAAATTAGAAGAAAAAAATATGGAACATATCCAAAAAAATATGGAACTAGAAGAAGAGTTATCAAAAAACAGTACATGGAAAGCACAGTGTGAAGCTTATAAAAGCCAAATAGTAGAACTACAGCAAAAATTAGATGAAGAAACTCAAAGGTCTGATAAAGCAACCTTTAATTTAGAAAAAATCAAAGGAAAGTTAGTAACTTTGCAAGGAGAAAAAGAGAGATTAATTTTAGAAAGAGATAGTTTAAGAGAAGAAAATGAAGAATTGAAACTAGGTCCAAAAGGTGAAAATGGTGCAGCGGTATCTCAAGAATTAACACCCACAGAAATGGAAAAGAGATTAAAACTTCTAGAAAAAGAAAACAAATCCCTTAGAAGTTCTAGTCAGGAAATGGAATCTAAACAAGTCCAGCTAGAAAGTTCTTTAAATAGGATAGAAAAACTTCAACAAAAGAATAGAACATTAAACCAAACAGTATTAAAATTAGAAGCACAAATAGAAGAAATGAAGATTCAACAATCTGAGACCCAAGGTACCTCCAGTAGCAGTTCAATAGCTAAAGAATACAGGCAGAAGATAGTGCAGTTACAAGAAAATTTAGCTTGCAAGGAAAATGAATTGCAATCTATACAAACTAAATACAATAGAAGTTTGGAAAAGGCCAGAGAAGTAGCACAGCACCTTGAGCTTAAATCTAATGGTGATGTAGATAATTCTTTAAGACAATCAAATTTAAGGGAGCTAGAAGAAAGATTATTAACAGCCGCTTTCCATAGATTAAGCTTGAATTGTCACAGAGAAACCATTGATGAGAGGCTAAGTGTTCTAAATGGAGCCCAAGGCCAGTCATTTTTATCTAGACAAAGACAACCCACACCAAGAAAACCAATTCAGAGGTTTAAGTCAAAGTAATATTTTTAGTTTGTTGTAGTGTGAAAATTTTATTTTTTTGTAGATATTGTGTGGAGTTTTAATATTTTTGTTATTTTAAAAATGCAATGAAAAATTAAGTCAATGTTTTAATTGGTTGTATTTTTTTTTAAATTGTGTTTTTGAAGATATTTTGTTGACATAATTTTTCTAAATTATTAGACTTTTGAGCAAACAAATAAGCAGTAGTATACAGGGTGAGTTAATAGGAGATTATGTAAGAAAATTGGAAGATATACTCATCATCAGTATTAGTATTTATTTAAAAAAAATATTTTTACGATATTGTCCTCTTATGTAAACCAGATATTTTTAGAGTTTAAACACGTATATTTTTGTGTTCAAATTGGTTCATCCTGTATAGTACATACAATGTTTTTATTTGAAAATCATACTTTCCAAAAAACCTTTGATTAATGAATTTAAAACAAAATACAATTTTGATTTTTTTCTGTGCTACACTCAAATGTCATATGTCACGCCTCTAACCAATAAAATGTAAACGGGATTTTATTATAAAAACTCAATCTTCAGAGCATTTCAAGATCAAAACATTCATGTGATATAATATATATGTAGAGGAGGTCCCGGAGGTATGGGTCAATTTTCTTTTTTTATAATATGCTAGCAAAAAAATATAAAATTGAAGTACTACCGTGTCTGCTAAATACTCAATCACCTCAGCTTAATAGTTAAAAATAGGTGGTGGTGCATTTTGACCTGTATGTCCCACCAGAAGGTAGAATTGAATTGTATATAGGGGAAGTTAGGGTTTTGACAGAATTTCTCTGTAAAAGAAGAATTAACACAGGGATGGTTATATAATTATTTTAATAAGCAAATGCACTTGTTACAAACCTACACTTAACGTTATAAATAATCCTAACTCTTCTGGTAACTTCTAAATATAGAGCAACATAGGAACAAAACTTAAAGGTCTGTTTTAAACAAAGAAAAAAATTAAACTTTCTCTTAAATTTAAAATATTATGCCACACAGAAGCAAAATTGAGGAAGGTTTTTTAACATTTAGATTAAGTCCAAAAGTCATGTAAGACAGATACCTACTGGTACCACCTGTGTAGGTAGGTGCTGACAGTTTCAATACCAGATCTTCCTTTGCTACACAGCTTTCATCCTTGTCATCAGGAAAATAGAATGACATTGTGTCGTTCTCAGGAAATTAATTATGTACTTGTTGAATTTTAAAAGTTGTTGAATTTGACCCACAAAGTGAAACTGGGTTTGTTTTTAGTATTGATGTCAGAGGCAAATCTGACTATAACAAAATCGCCTACCATTGCTGAGCTAGGTGAATGGTCGAAATTTGGAAGAATCTTCAGCATAAGTTTCTGAATCGCTAGTTACAACCGCTTCTGTGTCAGTCAATGTGTCACTGCTCTCTAAAGCCCTTCTTTTTTCATAGGTTTCTTCTTAGATTTTTGGATTGTTTCTTTTTCTGATTCTAAAACCTTTCGCTTCACATCCTTCGCTTTTTTGGCTTTTTCTTTTTCATAATTTTCTTTCTTCCTTACAAATTCTGGTGTAATTATAATGTCACTTAAAATATGTATTTTATTTGCAGGAGATTTTTTATGATCAGCATTGTACAGTGGAGTTTTCGATTCTGATGAGGTTTGTGTTAATTCAGGAGTTTTATCTAACTCTACCAGTACCTGGCTCGTGGCCTGACTACATTTGGGTGCCGCCTCAGGTGTAGGCCTCTCTGTAACATGTGACGCAAGAAAATCATCTCCTGAAAAAATGTCAGGGTTTAGGGGATGAATTTCACTTTTTCAAATGCAGACAAAATATTAAAAGCGGATTTGACTAGCTCAGGGAGTGTGTAGATAGATATTGTTTTGCCTGGGTTGGAAGTCATCCATGCTGCAGTAGCCGTATGGACCCCAACGTCTAACGGTTGCAGACGATGACTGCAGTGTAGAGAAAATGTCAGTATATGGACCCCGTTTTCCTTAGCCAACGTTATGACATCTAAATTCACGTGGCTCTGATGATTATCTAGTAACAATAAACATGGATTTTTATAAAATGGCGAAGAACTTTAACAAAGTTTTCTTTTGTCATCCAACCTCAAGGGTTTGTTAATCTCAAGCTGTTTTCTGGAGCACCTTTTAACATATGTTCTAAATATGTTTTCAGTGTAAATATGAATGCTGTCGGGATCATGTTTCCATCTGCATTTATGAAGCAACACACAATTATCAGCTTTTCGCGTTCGACTGAAGTTGCTTGGCATACCTATAAAATAAGAGGAATATTTTAAAATCAAACCGATAATTCAAAATTTGTTGTTATAGGTAGGTACCTATCTGTTTCTGGCCTTTCGTCGCCAACACTTTTGGTGGTTTATGAACTATAGTGCAACCTGTTTCGTCAAGGTTATAAATGTTTGACGAGGAAAATTGGTACCTGTCTCTTAAATTGGCCAATTTTTCACAAAACATATTTACATTATGCTTATTAAATGCCGTGCTTTGTGACAAACTTGTTGCCTCTGGTCTTCTTATAGACAAGCAAGTATTCCTTTCAACAAGACCTCCAGCCAGTCTTTTCCTGCGGCTTCCTTCTTGCTCCACTGACTAGGAATTTTCATTTTAAGGGCTTGCGCATATTCATAAGCAAAACGTTTTGTTTCTTTGGTCGACAACCCATAGTTCATGTTACTTGATGTTTTTAAGTATTCAACTAACATTTGTTCTTGTTTATTGTTAAACACTAAGGGTGAATTGGGATTTGCTACAAAATGGTATTTGCTCTGTTCATTTTCAGGAAGAGTTCTGGCATTTTTCACATTCTTTTACATGGCTGCGAAGCTAAACCCCATTTCATCTGCCACTCTTCTTATTTTAAAATCATCTTCTATTACTCTATTTATGGCAGTATTTATTTCCTCAGAGCTTTTTCTTATTCTGTTTGTTTTCCTTTTGTACTTTCGCGGCATTTTTATTTAATCTGTACCTACGACCACGAGATATTCATAACAAAACGAGTATAAAGGCACAAGTGCGGGAGATTTGAATCAGCGATTCAAACATCCCGCCATTTTTGACTCAATCCTCCCTACCGACTATCTGATCGAAAACTATTAAGGAAATTCTAAAAGTTAGGTTACATCTGACCAATGATTTACTATGCCTAAATCCAATAAAAAAAACTAGTTTAGCAGAATTTAAAAAAAGAAACAGTAAAAGTAATATTCCCTAAAAAGAAATTGTGAAAAACCTTGGCTTACCTGCATAAAGAACAATTTGTTCACTAGAACAAAATGTGACGCACTATTTATTTTAATGGCCATTGGAAGTAAGTTAAGAGTCTCTATATAAGGAACTACGCCTGCGATTTGCTTTGAAGTTAGGGCCTAAAGAGAAAGTAATTTTGATACTGACCCAAACCTCCAGGACGTCCCCTATTGTTATACAGAGTAGCTGTTAAAGATGGAACCAAACCTATAGTGCTTAAACGGTTCAACATACAAAACCCAAAATTTCAGAATTTCAACTAAATATATTTTAGCACAAAAATTATTTTTTTTATAATTACAAAATTTTAAGCATGGCCGCCATCTTGATTTTTTAAAAAGCAACATAGGTCATATACCATTTGAAAGGGTTTAACATCCTGATTACAAAAATGTATCACACATGGGGTCTAAACACAACAGAAAGGATATTATTAATGAGGAGCGTAGGAGGCTGTGCATTTGACACAAGAACCCATGTGTGATACATTTTTGTAATCAGGGTGTTAAACTCTTTCAAATGGTATATCACATGACCTATGTGCAGTTTAAAAAATGAAGATGGCGGCCATGCTTAATATTTTGTAATAAAAAAAAAAAATAGTTTTTGGGCTAAAATATGCGCAAATATATTTAGTTGAAATTCTGAAATTTTGGGTTTTGTATGTTGAACCGTTTAAGCACTATAGGTTTGGTTCCATCTTTAACAGCTACCCTGTATGTAAAGGTAGTATAAAAATCTTTTGTTTTTTGTTTTAATTCATTAAAAATAAAAAATATTTGTACTGTTGTTTTTAAATGAAAGCAGTGTATATTTTTATACAATAAAAATATTTCCTTTAAAAACTTATGGCCCTTGAAATTAACCAGCCATTTTTAATTTATTTAAATATATAAAAACCGGCTGTACCACAATATTTTCTTGTATTTTAACCACATATATTTTAACCAAATATAGATACATTGATGATCTAATGCTATTTATTCTGCAGACTTCTGCCTAAATGTTATCTGAAAAAATATCAAAAAAATATACAGGGAAAACACTACCAAAATGTTCTTAAAAAAATCCGTATGGAATGAATCAAAACAAAACTTGTTTTCAGATGTTATATCATTCTTCTTTTAAAAGTTATAAGCTGTACAATACCAGAAAATATAATGGTACAACCTTGATATAAATTATAAGTTAATTAAAACTGGCTATAATGAAATTATACAGAATTTCTACTTAATATTTTTATATTTTTTAACTTCACCCTGACCAAATTATTTATATACAGAGTTTATACAATTTAAAGTTTAGTAAATATATTTTATGTTTAACTTATTACTGTTTTATTTAATTATATAATAAATGGTATCACAAGTTTTTGATCTGGTCCCCGAAAATGCATTCCTTCTCATGTAAAAACAGCTAGGAATTTATTATCCACAAATTTCGCCAGAAAAGCCAGTGTAAGGAGGCCTACTAGTTGGTTCAAAAGTTCCCAGCATGTGTGACATATAGAAAAGGTAATTATGCGTTATTCAATGGTTTGAGAATAACGGAAATCTCGATTCATAAAATTGAATGAATGAGATCTTCAAATAAAAGTTTTGGTTTACATTTCTAAACCTGCTAGGAATAAAACAACACGAGTTGTTTTCTTCTGATAGAAAAATATTAGGTTCACCGATTGAATTACCAATTTAGCGCTAGTAGAATATTTTTTTATTTTGTGGGACGTAGTCGTCATATCCAGGTTATGGCTGCATCAAATTATTTTCAAAAGGAAAATACCTAATTGGTAGTCTTATTGTTGTAATTTTTAAAGATATAAATGGTAAAAATGCTGCAAATCTATAATTCCTGGCTGTAAAAGCTACATATATTATACATATTCTAGTTTTTCTTTCCCTAATGAGGCGATGTGACTAAACAGGTTGATCTACTGTAAATAAGTGATGAAAATCATTTGA